CCTTGATACCCCATCCGGTATGAGGCGACGTTCACGGTAGTGTTCCTATGTATCCGGTCCGTTCACCATCTCTGAGAATATCCAGTAAGGCTCTCATTCATTCACTTACTTAACCAATCAATTTTCTGTTTACCTTTAATTTTCAGTTTCACAATTTAACTGTAAATCAACGCAAGACAAATAATATATGCATAAAAAAAACACAACTAAATCATTTTATCAATTCCAATATATTATCATGCGTTTAAAGCCGTAAAATCAAACAATCGGTTAAATAGGACAACAATAATAATAACCAGTTCTGACTCCATTAGTAACCTGTAATTAATTCTCGAATCTTTCTAAATTATGTAAAATACCGTATTATTGATAATTAGACTTCAATTCCATAACAGAAAAAAAGGTGAGTCATTCTTACCCGAATCAGTATTCGAAATACTAAACTTTCTACTATACTACTGGCAGTCCATAGGTTTCCTGAATTTTCTTGTGGAGGTAAAATCACGCTTCACGTACCTAAAAAAACCATTAAAAAAAAAAATCAAAATCAATGTTAAAAACTTTTTTCTGGCTAATTTTAAAATTTCCGGCACGGACGCACTGTCGTGCTCCGACAATGACACCGCCGCTCGCTGCGGCGGTTTACCTCATATTGGCCATTTTGGCTAGTTTTGGCCAGTTTCGGCCAATTTTATACCCATCCTTACGAAAAAATACGTTAGGGGGCCTTTGGTTGGCCCAAAAAAGTCAAAAAATAAAAATTTATCAGCGGCGAGATTTTTCGGTGTGGCGGTTCCGTCGGCTCACCTTTGCGGCTGAGTGTTTTTCTTCAGTCAACCTATAGAAAACATAATGGTGAACACAATGGTGAAAAAATTGTACGAAACGGGAAACAGAAAGGGGCTCATCGAAGGTTTTTTTTTTTTTTTTTTTTTTCTGCAGCAGCGCTGCTAGACTTTACCCACGGTTTCGGTTCATCCGCTGTTCCTTTTGCTCTGATTTGGCCATTGAGGTGTTCAAAATCAAAATCCGAGCGCATAGGAGAATTTTTATCTTTTTTGGCGGTCGGAGGTGGCTCCGGTGCCGCAACGGGTGGCGATTGGCTCTCTTCTTTGGCAGGGGGCTGGCGGCTAGGGTTTGGGTTCGGTGTGAAGTGAGATATTTATACCCATCTCCCTTAAACCTGGATCGTTCATCGCATTTAATTTTGACCGTCTGATCGCGTTTAAAGATAAAATGAATCTAAACCGTTCATCGCGATTTGATCTCAACTGTAGGATCGCGTTTAAAGAGAAAATAAATCTAGATCATTCATCGTGTTTAATTGCGACTGTCTGGTCGCACCTAAGGAGGGAACGAATTCGGACTGTCCACGCACATGGGACACATCCGGGTCGTCCGATCGCGGGCATGCGAATTGCCAGCGTGGCCTCTCGTGTGGCACTGAGTCAGCGTGCCTTGCCATGCAGAGCGCTCCGGTTCGTCAGCACTACTGATTGGGCTGTCTTACGTGACACATTTTTTTAATTACATTTTAACCCTTCAGTTTTCAATTTTTCTTTCAACAATACCCATCGAACCCAAATTTCATTTATTTTTCCTAAAATTATTTTCAATTTCATTATCCACCTATTTTTTCCTAATTTTACATTAAATAAAAATTTATAAATTTTAAAATTATATTTTTATATATATTTTTTTAATTTTAAAATTAATCCCGAACTAAATTTCGGATCCGGATATCACATATTTTTATTGATTTATTATGCCATTATATTTCTTTCTATTTGAGAATGTAACAACCCCAGAAATCCAATCTTCTTGCAGATCGGGCTCTGAAACCTGGTTTTCTTGATCTAAAATGGTTAAATAAAGGATGAACTACACTAGTTCAGTAAAGATATCACACTATATCATCGACACAAAAATAAAGGTAGGTATAAAATCGAAAACCACTAATGGAGCATTAAATTTAGTAAATTCATTTATCAATCATAAAATCATTTCTTGTTCACTTACTATAGTGGAATTTATGAAAACAGCCTATAAAAAAAATAATAATACTATACAGATCATAACTTCATGAACAATTAGCAACATAAACCATATTGTAAATCCATATCCATTAACAATAAAACGAACCATAACTGTTTCTCTTTTCACCAGCCTACTAGTATCCATGAGAGTTAATAGGGATGTCCCCGCCACACGTGAATCCTTTCCTTTAACAATCTCAATTACAGGACCGTCCCTATACCCCGTCCGGTATGAGCACCAAATCATTAGACCTCAATATCCCGTCTGATATAAGGGTGAAGCGGGCCGTCCCCATATCCCGTCTGGTATGAGCTCCAAATTATTCAGTCTCCATACCCCGTCCGGTATGAGAGAACGTTTACGGTAAGATTTCCTATGTACCCGGTCCGTCCACCATCTCCCAAGATATCTGATAAGGTTGCCGTTCCATCTGTTTATTTAATCACACCACTTTCCTGTTTTCCTTTAGTCTCCATTTCCAAATCAAACATAATTACATAAGCAAGTAAATATGCATAAAGTAATGTAATCATGTCTCAAATCCTAAATCAAACAGTAGTTACGTAAAGCAGCAATTCATGCATTCAAACTATAAAATAAATCAATAAGGCACTATCATGCTCTTAGACTGTAAAATACATCAACAGAGGTTAACAGAGAATAATTTCCGGTTCGGGCTCCATCAGCAATCAGTAATTAATTATGCATGTTTACTAAAATCGCACAAAATACCACATTATTATTTATTTAGACTTCAATTCTATGATAGGAAATAGGGTGAGGGATCCTTACTCGATTTAACGCTGAAGAACTAAATGGTTTACCGCGCCTACGGGCGGTCCCTAGATTCTCTGAATTTTTTTTTCAGGAATTGAAATGCGCTTATAGTACCTACAAATATTCCAAATAAACCTAAAATCAGTCCCAGGGTCCACTCGACCACTTTCGAAAATTTGGCACAGCAGCTCCACCGTGCCCCGGCGTCGGTGCCGCCGCTTGTGTCGGTGGTTCGCCTCAGATTGGCTGTTTTCGACCGATTTTGCATCAACTCATGCGAGAAAACACACTTAGGGCCATTGGTTAGCCAAAAAAATACAAAAACCCGAAACTCACCGGCGGTGGGGCGCTCCGGTGCGACAGCTCCTCCGGCTCACGTTGCGGTTGGGTGTTTTGCTCCGGTCAACCTGTAGAGAAAAGAACGGTAATCACAACGGTGGAAAAATTACGCCGAACGGGAATTGGGAAGGGCCTCATTGGAGGCGTTTTGCGAAATTTTCCGCGACAGCGCCGTCAGGCTTCACCGGTGTTTTTCGGCCAATTGGTTGGTCTTTTCACTCTGATTTGGCCATGGGTGAGCTTAAAATTAAATTTCGTGCAAAATGAGAAGTTTTTACCTTTTTTGGCGGTCGGAAAGGGTTTTGGTGCGGCAGCGGGTGACAACGGTCGGCTTCCCGGCGGCTGGGTCGTCTTCTCCAGCGAGGAGTTCTGGCGGCTAGAGTTAGGGTTTGGTGCGGATGGAGGTTATTTATATCCATCCACTTTTGATTTGGACCGTCCATCGCATTTGATCTGAACTGTCTGATCGTAATTAAATAGAGAGTGAATCTGGACCGTTCATCGCGATTCAATCTGGGCTGTCCATCGCGATTCACTCTGGGTCGTCCGATCGCGTTTGAATCTGGCCGTTCGATTGCGTTTGGGAGGGAGCCCATCTAGACTGTCCGTGCGCGGGAGAACGGACCTCAACCGTTCGATCGCGCGTACATGGATCGCCTATATGGAACCCTCGCGTGGCCTCCTGCGTCAGCGCCTCTGTCACTTGGCGCATCCTGGTTGGTCAGGGTTGCTGACTCGACGTCTGACCTAGCAAACTTTCCAAAATTGCGTTTTGGCTTATGTTTTCTGATTTTTCTTTTAAAAATACCATAAGAATACAAAATTTCACCAATTTTTCTCAAAATTATTTTCAATTAAATCCTCCTTACATTTTATTTCATTTTTTTTACTTTAAATTAAATAAAATCAAAATACAATAAAAATTAATTAAATAATAAAAATTTATATTTATTAAATTTTTATCACCAAAAAGAAATTTGTGAGTGTTACAGAGAATGGTATGTTTGCACGATTTTCTCTTTTTAATTTTATTTTTTTGTGGTATATATATGATCGGTGGATATATATTTGATTTAATTGTTTCATAAGGATAATTCATTTAACTACTTTCAACATATTCATTTAAAATTAACAATATATTAAAAATAATATAAACTCTAAACCGTTTTTAATCAATATATGTTCTAATTATAGTTCAAAACTAATTTTTAATAAATAAATGGAATAAATAACCCTTAAAAAACAAATGTACGTACACCCCAAATAAATTCGATCCAATCTAAATATAAATTCTCTAATTTCACTAACTGAAAAACAAATTATATATATGAAAGGAAAGTCAACTAATGTTTTCCTACACATATTTAAACATATTATAAAAAAATTAATAAATGTATGTGGAAAATTATTTTAAAAAATAAATGCATGCGGAAAATTATACGAAGGATTTTGACGACTGGGTATAAGTAGGTCGATAGTAAAGTCACTTACTTTTTCCACACATTTATTTCAATAATTTACTTAATTTTAACTTTACAAAATTTTGTCTTCTCCCACCTAATTTTTTTATTAAAATTATTAATAAAAATATAATTTTATAGTTCTTATTCAAAATAATATATTGAGTAGTTAAATTTAGTTACTGAAAAACGTTTTTTTTTATAAAGTAAATAAAAATATTTTTTATTCCAAAAGAGAATATATCTAAACTTCTGCTTTCTGCTTTTGGTAGGGCTTGGGCTTGTTCGCCGTCGTCTTCTTCTTCTTCTTCTTCTTCAGGTTATATGTGTTTTCCAATGGATCGATTTCTTTTGTCAAAGCCCAATATCGTGTAAATTCACTCTTGTATTTTTATGGTCAAATCACAGGAGGGAAAGGATCAAAGCGCCAGCGCCAAAAACCAATTTTCATTTTTCCCTCCCTATTTTCTCTATTAATTCAATCTGCTTTTCTCCTCCCACAATTTTAAGCATATTCAACATTCTCTTTCTCTCTCTAATTGTCTGCAAGTAGAGTTTTTGGAGAGGAATCCATGGCAGGGAGGACGTCCAAGGTAAACCCACCAAAGCCAAGGAAGAGAGTAGAAGCTGAAACTGCGACTGGCCCTTCTCTTCTTCGCGCCAAAGATGGCAGCGCTTTTGCTCGCTGGTAAACTCTTCTCCTTTGTCCTCCACTTTTGTATTTTTGGTCGATGGTGGTTTAGGTTTCGAAATTTCTTTTTGGATGTATAGTTGGCTGATACTCTGTTCCATTTTCAAGACTAGTTTTCTTCCATTTGTGTAACAATTTGGTCCCTAAGGCTGGTTTTGCTTGTACATTGGGGGCTTTTGTTTAAAAATTTATAGTCTATAAGATTGATCGTTAAATTCGCGATGTTTTGGCATAGAAATTAAAGTGAAACTATGAATTACAGTGAGGAGTGCAACAAGGACGTACCGGTGGCACTGATAAGTATGCATAGTTGCAGCCTTGATGCCAAGATCAAGATGAACTTGGGTACTTTCTCCTTCGCACTTTTCTAAAATTCACCCATGTTTTTTATCTTCTGTTCGCTCTATGGTCGAGACGTGTTAAACGTAAATATACTTGTATGAAAAAAGATCTAGATGAAACGCGATTTTGTTTATCTGTTTTCTAAAGCATAATCTGCAATGTCGTGTTCCTTGTACTTTGCTAATTATCGTTACTGTTGCTCGTATTAGCGTCTCAAGTTGTGGAGCAGCCTTCTGAAGCCAAAAAAAAGCCAGCAGAAAGGTTAGTTCTGGCGTGAATTAAAATAGTGAATGATACTGGTATTTTCCTTTTCATGTACATGGTTAAGGTGTGTTGGGTTCTGGTTTTTGTGGATCGTGGTTTTAACTTGGGTATGTAGGAAGAAGGCAACATCAGAAGAACCAAAACCTAAGAGGCTCAGAAAGGAGAAGGAAAAGAAGGGCAAAGATTCTAATAAGACTAAGCGCACTCCCACTGCTTTCTTTCTCTTCATGTACTGCTTTAATGTTCTTTTTTATCTCTATTTTGCTTGTGATTATGTAATATAATGTATGCGGTTGGATTCTATGCTTTGTACTAATGGAGGTTGTTGAATATTAGGGATGACTTCAGAAAATCTTACAAGGAAGCAAACCCAGATATTAAGGGTGTTAAGGAGGTATTTTCTATTTTTATTTTTCATGTTGGTTTATACAGTTTAGTTTCATGTCTCTATTGAATAGTTGACTTGGAGTCAGATGTAATTAGCATTTGGGTGCGCTCTGTCAAATTTTGTTGATTGTGTTTTCATTAATGTGATAATTATAGGTTGCAAAGGAAGGTGGTGAGAAATGGAGGTCCATGACAGATGAAGTTAGTTCTAATCTTCATTTATTTGTTTTAGGTCCTTGATTTAGAAACTCTCTGAGCTCTAACTTGCTTTCAATAATTTTTATCTTACTTGAAACAGGAGAAGAAGCCTTATATTGACAAGGCAGCTGAGCTCAAGGCCAAGGCCTCAGACAGTAATAGTGCTGATATTGGAGATGTATGTGTTTCATTTTGCAATTTTAGGTACATTTTCTTCCTGCTCTTTTCCATTTCTGATTATTGTTCTGTGCATTGTTTAGGATGAAGGAGCTTCGGAGAAGGAAGATAATGAGAAGGACGATGATGGGAAGAAAGGTGATGACAAGGAAGATAATGAAAATGAAGAAGTACTAGATGATTACTAATTGATTAGGAATTTACCATCCTAATTTCATGTTTAGTTTCTTAGAATGGTTTTGATGCCTGGCTTTTGGGTATTGTAAATTCTGAAATTTCATTTTTTGTAATGAATTGCTTCTGATACAATTATGTTATCATGAATTTTTAGTTTTTGATCTTTTAGAACAGTTGTAATGTGTAGGACCAGCAATGATGATCAAAACAATTGACCTCTGGTGCCTCCTTTCTTGAGGACAAGATTTCTGCATACATGATTTGATATCCATGTGACTATGAAGCTTGCCTTTTGCATTCTACATTTCCTACTTGATTTCAATGGTAAATTAAACATGTATTCCTACACTGTATTTGAAACAATGTCTTATCCATGATTACATTTTATTAATGAATAAATGGACTAATAACTACTATAGGGCAGAAGCAATACCATCTTCTCCAATATGAAAATGCCCATATGACATGAGCATGTTACTGGTTGAGTCAGCATATCACTGGCCCATCTCTTGTTTCTTTACCCTACAAGGTGGCAAAGGTTTGCCACATAAGCAAAGATTATGAGCATATGCAACTGCAGGGAAGATGTTAAATGGTCTTCCCTGTGGGATCTCTCCACACAATAGGTTTGCTCTGAAGCTTGCATGTCTTAGAGCTTCAATCCCCAATAGGCTATTTGGGATTTTTCCTGTGAGATTATTTATGGACAGGTCAAGCCATTTAAGCTTTGCCAATAGCCCTAACCTTGTAGGAATGGTGCCTGTTAGATGGTTCCTGGAGACAATTAACCTCTCAAGTCCAACAAGGTTTGATATAGAACTGGGGATTTGACCTGCAACCTTGTTGCTTCCTATGTTCAACACTTTCAAACTCAAGCCTTCAGAGAATTCTGGGATTTTATCTGAAATTTGATTCTTTGATACGTCAAAGACCTCCAAAAAGCTGCTTGTTCTGTTGTTTAAGATGCTTGAGAGGGACCCAACAAGTTGATTTGAGTGTAGATCAATGGAAGAAATACCTTCAGGCAACTTGAGTTCTGAAAGATCAAATCTTAGTTGATTATTCGAGAGGTTGAGCTTCTGCAAACTAGACATGTTTGTGAAGAAAGTAGAAATGCCACCTGTTAGCAAGTTATCAGAGAGGTCTATGGAAGTCAAAGAATCTGGTCTTGTAAACTTTGGGAGAGGTCCTCTGAGTTTACAACCAGCTAGATTGACTTCTGAAAGGGGCTTGTCTTTGATCCATTTGGGAACTATCCCTAAACTCAAATTGTTGTAAGACAGGTCAATTGACAACAAAGAAGGGATTCCCCGGCCTAAGATGACTGGTAAAGGATCTGAGAAACCATTTCTCGACAAATTAAGAGACCAGAGCTTCTGCAACCTTGAAATAGATGAAGGAATATAACCCATAAACCAGTTATGACTCAGTGAGAGACTGGTAAGGGATTTGAGATCACCAATCTGATCTGGGATTGTTCCAGTGAGCTTGTTATGGCTCAGTGACAAGTCCAGAAGATTGGGCAAACTGAACAAGGAGGAGGGTAAATGTCCTGAGAATTGGTTATCGGAAAGATCGAGAAAGGTGAGGTTTTTAAAGTTGCCCACAAATCCTGGAATCAACCCAGATAAGAAATTAAAGCTAAGATCAAGAGACTGGAGAGCAAGGAGATTTTTCAAAGTTGGTGGGATAGGACCTGTCAGGGAATTTCTTGCTAAATTTATCTGAAGAAGATTTTTCGTACTTCCTAAACTTGGTGGAATTTCGCCCTTCAAATGGTTACCACCCAGTGAGAGAGTTCGGAGTAAGGACAGGTGACCTAAACCTGAAGGGATGGTTCCTTGAAGGGAATTCTCTTCAAGAACAAGCTGAGTTAGGTGAATGAGATTAGAGAAACTCTCCGGAATTGGACCTGTAATATGCTTCATTCCACTTATCACCATTACCTCCAAATAACGCAGATTGGCCAAAGAAGGAGACAAAGTACCCTTCATGTAAAACTCACCGTCTCTTTCCGGTCTCTGCAACACCAGTTCTGTAACTCTCCCTGTAACTGGATTACACTGCACTCCCTCCCAGTCTCCTCCACAGCAATCCCTGCCTACCCATGAAGAAAGAATATCCGTGGTGTCTTTGAAGATTTTAGCCTTGAAATCAACAAGAGCAGCCCTATCTTCCTCTGAGCATATCTTTATCTCTGAGCTTGACTCAGATGCTGTCACTGACAACACATCAACAACAGCATATACCAGTAGAAGCTTAAACACACATCTGAGAATCTGCATTTTCAGAAGACGATTGTTTGATGAGACTGGTGAAAAATATATAGATTTTGTAAGACTCAAGTTGGGATCTGAGAAGAAGAAGAAGAAGAACAAGTTTCAAAAGGGAAAAGAAAAGAATATTGTATCATGGGAAATGCTTCGTTGCAGACATTAAGTTTTTGTTGTTTATTCTTCTCCTGTTTCTTCACGTAGACAGGAAGATATAATGATGAAAAAGGAATTAGAGAGGAAAGAAAGATTCAAAGAGAGTGAAGAAAATTATAATATGGTTGGATATGTGCGCTGCTCTGGAAAATTGGGTCTCCCTTATTTATAAGTATAAAATAATGAATGAAATTTTTTTGTAATATAATTTGGTTTAAAGAACTTCACATGGAGAATTGTGACCGTTGGATGAATCACGAGGATCCTAATTGGGTAATTGCAATTTTGAACGTTGGAGCGCAACTGGTTCAAATTCTATTCAAACATAATTGATTATTAATTATATTATTCTCACACATTAAATAAACGATATTAACTAATAATGGAAGCTAAAATTGGAAGATATTTTTGATATTGCATTTATTAAAAATTAATTCTATGTATTTTCTTTTTCGACGAACCATTTCTATGTAATCTATTATGGATATACTCAATCTAATATGTATATATATATATATATATGTCCAGAAAAGGCTAAATATTATGATTTTTGTCTGAAATTTGAATGGTGACAAAAAATAATTATAAAAAACTACAAAAATGATATGATTAGAATTAGCAAAAAGGGAATGGTATAGATCTATTTGGAGTTCTTGTTCCAACCATCACCATAAGCTTCACTTCATAGAAATTTAGTCTTTATTTATTTTTTAATATTTGAATATATAAATGTCGCTTTTATCATTTTGTTTTCATAATTAAAAATGGTTTAATTTATCTTTAAATGCTCATAAATAATTCAACTGAGACTTGCCAGACCACCACGTTTAAGTTATATATATATATATATATATATATGGGGTAATAATTAAAAAATAAATGAGAAATATCACCAATAAAGTTTGATTAATTAATCACTTAAGAGTTTTCTCAAAAAAACGAAAAAAAAAGAGCACTTAAAGAGAAAGTGCTAAGACCTGTTCAGAAAATTATTGGATTAAAGAATTTCAGAATTCAAAATTTTTATTTCAAACAATGAAGATAATATTTTTAATTAATTAATATTTATTATTATTACTTAAAAATAAATTAATAAACCCTATTTTTCTAAAATAGATGTTGTGAGAAATTAATGTGTTAACTCCCCAAAAATAAAAAATTTAAAAATAAAGAAAGAACATTAATCAAAATTCATTTTCCTATATATATGGTTTAGAAAGGATAATAATAGAGGTGAAATTTTTAAGCAACTATATATATATATATATATGTGTGTGTGTATATATATCTACATTTTCTGTTTCAATTTTGATTAGAAGTAGAAATGAAAACATGGGTAAATATTTCTTTTTAAATATTTTTAGAAAATCTGGTAGCATGAAGGTTAATAAGTCAAGAGTTAGTTGAAATTTGAGAAGATGTTTGTCAAATAAATCATACTTGGATGTTGACTTCAACGTTGACTTTGGGGATTTTTTTTAAAAGATTAAATAATAAATAATATAATATATAACGACAAGTGTCTGATTTATATTTTAGATATGTTTAGAAGATGATAATATTTAATATATTTAGAATACATTTTTCTCATTCTACCTAAATTGATTTTTTTCTACTGTGATTTTTATTCTTTTATAATTAGATTAAATATAAATTATAAATAAATTTATAAAATCAATTACGTAGTCTTACTAATATACTAATAAATTAATTTATGATAATACTATATAATTTAAATGTATAATATGATAAATAATTATTCAAATGTAATATTAAGCATCTTTACCTCTCTTTTTTTTTTTTTTTAATCCAAACACAATTTATTTAGCACTTGAAATTTATAGAAGATAATGTAAGTAAATAAGCTCTTAGATTAACCATGTCAAATCAAATTCTAAAAATTAGAATGAATTTAAGACGTGTTAATTAGATAATTTCATAATAAGGCATAATGCAATTGACTCATTTAATCAAGCAACTCATCAAGCTATCAAATGATAAAACCAAACCACAAGATTAACTCATTAAGCAAAATATAGCTTATCAACTCAAAATCTGATTAATTAAATATATTAACTTAGGTTAAATTAATTTATATTAGGTATAGAGATATGCAAAACATTGACATCCATCGGTTAACTAACTTTATGCAATTATTATAACTTTTTTGTTCCAAAATGACAAAATTAATTATTATGTCAATTTTAACTTACTTGGTACATATAAAATCTACATATCAGTATAATTAGTAAACATTAGGTTATATTTATAAAAAGTTAATTAATTACAAAATTTATCTTTCAGTTTAATGATCGAAATAATATTATTTTATGTCAATATTAGATTATATATACTTTTATAATAGTTCAATTCGTAAACAATTTGCACGCACTACTTTCGTTGTCACTAGTCATAGATTTAAAATCATTCACTAAAATAAAGATCACAAAATCTCTTTTAATGGTTAAGATAAAAGTTACTATTTTTTAGTATCAATGATAGAATAAACATATTATACTTTCGACGACTTCGGTAAAACTAACTTCATATATCTTCAACAATTTTAATATAACCAACTCCCTAGCTTAAAATTTCACAGAGCTCATAAGAATGCATTTTAATAAGCTAAGTATAACAATTCTTTTAGACTTATCTATATTAAAGCCTAGTCTTAAAATTCCTCTTTAAAAAGAGAGAGTCTCAAAAGTTAAGGATTAAGAAAATAAAAATGGATGTTTAATGTATAAATTTAAGTACACAATTACATAATGGTCTTTCCACTCTTGCTTGATGGAGTTGGTTGTTCATCACTTATTTTTTCTCCAACTTCATGTCTTTATTTATGCTAGGTTGGTGACTTTTTGAAAAGGGTAAATATACTTATATTTGGCATATTGTTCAATTAGTCTACCTTTCTTCCTACTATAATTAGCTTTTTTTCAACATTTTTAGTCACATCTTTGATTGATTTATTCTTTTCCTCTATAATGGAAATTATTTCCTTTATTGCAACCACTAGAGATAAAGTCAACAAAAGTGTGTCCAAATGCCTTCGAACAATCTTGAGCCTTGGTTAATTACTTTAGTTATAAATCAGTATCTTTCATTTGATCATCTGTATCTGCTAATTAAGAGCCTATAATTTCTTAGGAACTTTTCATGAAATGAACAAACTCCTTTATAAAGGAGTGACCTAAAAAATAAATATTATGTACAAGAAAAGAAAAAAAAAGTAAGATTTCCTACGAAAACTTGTTTAGTGACCCTCAATGAATCTTCTCTGCCATAAAGAGCTTTATTATTGTACTTTAGGCAAAAATTAGAAACAATGCTTTTATCATTATGATTAGTCATGACGGGTAAAATCAAACTAATAGGAGGATAAAAAGAAGACATAGTACTATGATCACATATGCAGAGTTAATATCCGTTTAGGGTCATGACCTGAAGCAAGATGTACTCCCCTGAAAGTTCTAAAAAAATAAATTATGAATTAGTACGGAAGCGAAATAAATACTTAAGGGTTACATTCTTATAATAAATTTAAAGTCCCAAATAGTGCTATGAAAATTACCTTTTTGAAGGAAATACAAAAAGATTAAGGAAATAAATAGAAAATAAATAAAATTGGTATCCTATTCACAACTCTCTTATGGATCAGACTCTAGATGCTGATCCTCTTGATCTGAAATGGTTATATAAAAAATGAGCTATACTACCCCAGTAAGAATATCACACTACTCACCGACACAGAACTGAAGGTTGGTAGAAAATTAAAATAACTAAATGGAGCACTTAATTAAATAAATACATTTATTAATAGTAAAATCATTTACCGTCCATTTACCGCAGTGAGATTTAAAAAAAACAACCTACAGAGACAGTAACAAAGCACTTATCATGATTTCATATGCAATCGGTAACATCTACACATTATAAATCCATATTCAATAAATCAAACAACAACTGTCCTTTTCCATCAACTTGCTAGTATCCATGGAAGTTTATAGGGATGTCCCCACTACGCGTGAACCTTTTTCTTTAACATTTGTAATTAAAGGCCGTCCGTATACCCCGTCCGGTATGAGCGCCAAACTACTAAACCTCAATACCCCGTCTGAGATGAAGGTGAAACGGGCCGTCTTGATACCCTATCCAGTATGAGCACCAAATTATCAAGTCTCGATACCCCGTCCGGTATGAGACAACATTCACGGTAGGGTTTCCTATTATACCCAGTTCGTCCACCATCTCCCAGGATATCCAGTAAGGCTGTCATTTTATCAATTCACTTAATCACACAATTTGTTATTTTTTTTAGTCTCCATTTTTAAATTCAATCGTAATAACATAAACAAACAAACATGCATCAGGAAATGCAATCATATCTCGATTTTTCAATTTAACAGTAGTCATATAAGGCAGTAATACATGCATTCAAATCATAAAATCGATAAATCAGATATTATTATGCATTCAAACTATAAAATAAAATGACAGAAATCAACAGAGAATAATTTTTGGTTGTGACTCTATTAGTAATCCGTAATTAATTATAGATATTTTTTAGAGGGTACAAAACACCTTATTATTGTTAATTTGATTTCAATTCCATAACAGAGGATAGGGTGAGAGATTCTTATTTAATTTGATGTCCAAGAAACTAAACTGTTGACTGCGCTTACAGGTGGTCCCCGGGTTCCCTAAATTTTTTTTCAAAAATTAAAACACGCTATAAGTACCTAAAAATGTCCCAAAAAATCTAAAATTAGTCTCAAGACCGAATTTTGGCCAATTCTAAAATTTCGGCATGGCAGAGCCGATGGGCGACGGTGGTTCACCTCGCGTCGGCTGTTTTCGATCATTTTCGACCGAATTTGGCCGATTTGCATTATTCCTTGTGAGAAAACACGTTAAGGGGCCTCGGTTGGTCGAAAACAACATAAAAAATTGAAACTCATCGGTTACGGGGCTCTCCGGTGCGGCGGCTCCTCCGGCTCATGTTGAGGTTGGGTGTTTTGCTCTGGTTAACCTGTAGAGAAGGAAACTGTGATCACAATGGTAGAAAAATTACACTGAACAGGAATCGAGAAAGGCCTCATCGGAGGCATTTTGTGAAATTTCTTGCAGCG